GCACGTGATCTTTATTCAGCATTAACACAATTCTTTCAAATCTATACTGATTATGCATCAAATCCATTTTATGTTACAGGTGAAAGTTATGGTGGTAAATATGTTCCATCAATAGGATATAAAATTCATGTTGAAAATCAAAATCCACAAGTTAAAGTTAAAATTAATTTAATTGGACTTTCAATGGGAAATGGATGGACTGATCCGTATAGACAATATGTATATGGACCATTACTTTATCAGGTACTAGTATAGAAACTGTCTTTCGATTACCTGATAGAAGATCGGTCTGATACCACAGAATTCTTATGGTCTCTCTACACATTAACTATCCAAAAGAGCAGATGTATACCGTAACATAGTCAGTATGCTATCGGACCCAGTGATCCCAGATAAATAAGTTGTCTAGGGTCATCTCATTGTTTGATTTTACTGAGATTTGCACACAGTACCTTGTAGATACCTGTCGAACTACGTAGGCATAGCAGTATACGATCTATACCATACTTACGAGGGAAGGTCCCCAACTGTCCCCTCGCTTTTGAATCGGGCACATGCCCAAACGATAGACCTCAGTGAGTTACTGAACACCCTACAAGGGTTCGATTGTCTAGGCCTCCTGAGCAGAGATATACAATTATTACTGCTACTAATGTCGGCGCCAGAAGGGAGGTTTACTCCACTATTGTAAGGACAAAACATAGTGTTGTTTAGGCCGATTATGGGTTTTGTAGGGACTCTCTTTCATATGGCCCGAACGATACCACGTTTTGTCCTTATAATAGTAGAGTGAATTTCTTCTGTAGCTCATAGAAAACGACGTTTTCTATCAATCACCAAAGAATTCGCTCTACTATTATAAGGACAAAACATGGTATCGTTCTGGCCATATGAAAGAGAGTCCCTACAAAACCCATAATCGGCCCGAACAACACTATGTTTTGTCCTTACAATAGTGGAGAAAACCTTCCTTCTGACGCCGACATTAGTAACAGTAATAATTGTATATCTCTGCTCAGGAGGCCTAGACAACCGAACTCTTGTAGGATGTTTAATAACTCACTGAGGTCTACCGTTTTGGCATGTACCCGATTCAAAAGCGAGGGGACAGTTGGAGACCTTCCCTCGTTAGTTATGTTTTTCTTTCATCTGTCACTTATCTACCACCTATACTAAATATTTTGTAAATCATCTTATAGTAATGTCAAGAAAATAAAAGAAAATCGGTGATCAAGCTAGGAAGATCACCATTAGAGAGAAAAGAACATAACTTTCAGATTAATGATCAATCTAACACAACTACTTCTTAATTATCTAAAAACTTCTTTTTTTTTGACAATTTTCTAATAAAATTTTGTACATAAATTCTAGATTGGTTTAATTGATGATAATCAATTATTTTATATCAATCTTCAATCAGATTTAATTCGTTATGCAATTAGTCAAAAACGTTTTTCTGATGCATTTACTATATCTGATTCGTTAATCGATGGTGATCTTATTAATACAACATCTTATTTTACAAATGTAACAGGTTTACGAGCTTATTATAATTATATACAAACTGATGCATCTGCATCGTTATCAAATTATGTTAAATTTATTACAAATGTTGATCGTCGTCGACAAATTCATGTTGGAAATTTAACATTTCATGATGATAATAAAGTTGAAATAATGCTTATAAATGATGTTTTTCAAAGTATACCATCAGAACAATTAACAACTCTTTTTAATAATTATAAAATTCTTATTTATAATGGTCTATTAGATATAATATGTGCTGAAAGTTTAACATTAAATTGGATTGCAGATTTACAATGGTCACATTCAAATGAATATAAAAATGCAAGTCGACAAATATGGAAAGTGAATTCAACAGATAATTATGTAGCAGGATATATTAAAATAGTCTATAATTTTATATTAGCTTCTATTCGAAATGCTGGACATTTAGTACCAGGTGATCAACCAAGAGCTATGTTTGATTTATTAAAACGTTTTATTCAACTTACTTTTGCTAAATGAAAAAAACGTTTTTCATATTCACATAAACATTGTTTATCAATACATGTAATTTGATATGAACCATAGGTTATTGTTTGATTAAGTTCTGGCCAATATTGATGACATTTTGTCTTTGAAAAAAATAAAAAATATTTAAGGTGTATCAAAAGAAGCGACAGAGCTCCTTTAATTTCCTATAAAAAGCTTAAAGAAACTCTCTTTATATATATGGTCTGATAGTGCATACTGTGGGTTCTGGGCAGAACCGATCGTACCTCATTCACTCGGACTTTTTTTTTTCGACTGGCTCAGAATGCCTGGAGGTCAAACCAGGTCGATTAATGTTTCCAAAAGGATATTTACGATTTTTGCAACCACACGAACGCAAAACTCAATTGAAGTTCGAATCATAAGGCAATGTATCAATATTTGATTTTCAAAACTTAGAAGCCAGGTCCATAACTTTGGATTGACCGCCTATTACCGACGTCGAATATTCAATGGATGGATCTGGCAAGATTAAAATTTCAAAATGTGATCTGGAAATGCCTATCAGGCTCGCAGCCCTAGTGGCTATAACATCATCTTGTTTTTTTTCTTCTCATATCCACTAATGCCTAATCGTCTTTATTTCATCAAATATTACAAATAATCATCATGGTTATCCACACACAACTGTTCTCATTGAATCCATTGTTCGAACATTTTTCTATACTCTTCTCTATTTAAAAAGTTCATGAAGTTGGTTACAATGCGATGTAACGATTCTGAATCATTTTACTCGCTTAGATTTTGTTTGATTAAGTCATATAATCAAAAAACACATGATGCCAAATCCAAAGAATTCAATGGATATAACATTATTGTCATGCCTTCCGATTCAAGATGACGGGACACATCTTTATGAATATATAGTCTCTCATTAGAACTGAGTAGATTACAACAGAAGGAATGGAGAAAAAAAGAAGAGAATACAGATTAAAGACAAATATGATTTGATGTTATCGTCACATGTCATAACAAATAGTTCTTGTTGGAATTTTGTTATCATAATATTAGTTGAAGAATGATGTATTGGCGCGGAAAACTAGAGCAATATTATTACTATCAATCCATATAGAGAAAAAATTTCTTTAAGCTTTTTATAAACAATTAAAGTACTTTCGCTACTATTTTTGATGCGTTCTAACGAGAAAACTACCCAAACTAATACTCGCCATTTGCGCCTATATTGAGCTCAAAAGAAAATCTCGATAAGATTTGAGATAGGTCGTAAATATTCGTGTTCATGGGACTCTAAATCTGAGTTATGATCATATGAGTAAATTTCAGGTCAAAATTTCGTTATTTAATTTTCCAATATATATCTAAAAATGGATCGAAAATTCATGAAAACGATCGTAACTCAGCTACAAAAAGATTGATGGACACGCCCCTTGTAAACTTTTTCTAATGTTGCCAGCATTTCCTTCAAGTTTCAATATGAGCTCTATCAGTGGGTGTTAATTCAGGTAGTTTCCTCATAAATATGTTCAAAAAAAAAAAAGAAAATGTTTACCATTCGTGATGCACCTTCGATAATATTTGTTAACATAACTATTGATTTAAGTTTAAGTTCCCATATCATACGCCAGAAATCTTCACAAGTATCAGATTTAGGACCTGTATATAAAGACATAGGTCGTTTACTTGACTTTTTTTTGTTTTTAAAATATTGATATTACCTTGAGTAGCAATAAATTTATTTGAACATTTATATCCCTATTCAATAAAGTTTCTTAGAAATAATATTCATAAAGATTTAATTAACAAACCGAAATATAATTTCCATTAATATAATCCGTAGCTGGATCATCATTAAGTACACTAAGAATAACACGAGTAGTATCGATAGGTAAAATATTAAGAAAACGATTTTTCGAAGCAACAATTGCACGAGTTGCTGATGTACATGGTAATTCCTCAAAATTAGGAATACTCTAACAAGAAAAAGAAAATGAATGAATATTGAAATATTCAATGTTAAAATCTATGAAATTCATAGAATTTTCAATCTACTTGAAATTCAATAGAAAATGCTAAATCATCGAGTGCATGTTTTTGCATATAAATATCATATAATTGATCAACAGGAAATTCTTTAGGTATTGTAAATTTTTCTATAAAATAAAACAAATATCTTATACATATTTTTTCAAATTAAAAATGAAATATTCATTTTTTATAATTTAAATTATACACAATTAAAACTTACTATGATCATCGTTTAATAAATTATTATTTGATTGTCGTCGAATTTTTGATGGTGAACAACATGTTGTTATTGATTTTGAAGATGATCGATGCCGACGATCTCGATTGTAAGCATTGATTGAAATATTAGCTAGTGTTGGTTTAATAAAAGATGACTGATGACTACCCATATGTTATGACTAACTATCTCATTCGAAATTTTATCTTTTCGTGTTAAACAAAAAACTGTAACACGTCATCGTACTAATCCAGTCCCGACACAAACTAATCCTTTTGAGGCTTACTGTGAATCGGTGAATAAGATAATGGTGTACTGTCACGAGATTGTTTTGTTGTCGACAACGTATGTATACAAGGCAATTGGAAGTAAGTATAAGCACTCTTAATAGGCTGTCTATAGAGAAAAAAACAGTCTCATAATTATGTTTTTTTTTCCTTTTTTTTACCTAAGAAAGAATGTACACATAAATGTAAGAAAAGCCAAGAGACTAAAACCACAGACGAATATAATGGCAAATATTATAATATTGGAAGATTCTTTTTTATGAATTGTTTGTTCAAATGATGAAAATAAAAGAACGCTAGCATTGTTTGTTGAACTATATTGTATATCAATAGTTGATTTATTTTTAAGTGTAATTTTTTGAAATTTTAATGCCGTACTTAAAATATTTACTATCGGTTTTATTTGAATGCGATATGTTGTTGGTGATGTTAATGCTATTTGTTGTGTATTGTCTAAAATAGATAAAATAAGACGTATATTAGACATACGTTCTCTCTCATATGATTTAATCAATTCATAGATAAAAATCGAATGAGATTAATAGCAATTCTATTAAAGTTAATCTTAGAATGAATGTTTTACTTTGACACATGACAACAAAAAATATCAATGAAACGATTATCATATTAAAATCATACAGATACATAATGTATATTTGAAGAAGATTGTAAACTCTTTAAAAACAATATTCCTAGATTTTAAGAACGATATCAAGATTTAAAATAAGCAATTCTACAAATCCACATTCATGTACAGAAGCTAGCAGCTTGTATATTTGTTACATCATTTCGCCATAGTTATCCAATGATATTAGCAAATTTGTTAATATTAATTATTATAAATTTCTTATTAATCAATATGGATATATGATCTATATAAAAATTCAAACTGTTTTTTTTTTATGCATAAAATTTCCTTTCACTGAAATATTAATGCAAGCAATATACATTAAAATGGTAGTTATTCTTCATTACTGTATAAATAGGATTAAATCATCTTAAGTAATATGAAATCTAATATCTTTATCCTTCATATTTTCAAAAAAAAAAAAGTTGTCGTAGGATAAAATAAAAAATTTACTTGTCAATACTAATTTTGAATTATATTTTGTTAAATTTTGTCGATTTGCAATTAATTTTTTAAGTATTTCAATAGAATTTGATTTTTTCCATGAATACAAAGTTGTTGTTTCATTTAATAATTGTTTACTTGGTAATGAATTATTACGAAATGTAATAGTCGAAATATTATTAACTCCATTCGTTTTATTAATTAATATCATTAAAATGATTAGATAAAGAAACATTATTATATTATCGTCACTCATATGATATAGTGTTGACATTCTGTTTTCATCTATAAAGAATTGTGTATGAAGTAGAAATAAGCTTCCTATTACGGTATATATATATATCTATGTTCATATAATAGTATAGCAAACAAGAATTGTATGAATAAAACGAAGGCCAACAACTTGACCGATTACTCACCTTCTATATTTTCAGTACGTTTATATGGCAATTACGTCATCATCTTTCTCCGGATATATCAATTAGAACTCACTGCTTTAATCTAAGCTTCCTTTTTTTTATTTGCTGCACGTGCATATATATATAGATAGATATCTTTACTTACTAACCGATCAATGCACATTATATCTTTCCTGTTGCAATAGATAATTATAATGGACAATTAACCTCAATACGGTGGGAATTAAACAATTCAAACTATGATAGATGAGAGAATAATGAATCATTCTTTTTTTTTTCTATTATTCATCGATCATACAATTAACATGAGTGACATATCGAGGTTACCTTGGAAAAAAAGAGATGGAGAGAGAACGAGAAGACATGGAACAATCTCCTTCTATTGTTATACAATAAAAAAAAAAAAAAGAATTTCCATCTTCTTTCAATGTAGATAAAAAGAGATCAATAATTATTAGTGAGATAATAAATATGCACTTTGAAGTGTATATTTACATCAAAATTAATTGTTGTTCATGTCAGAGATACACGACAAGTTCGGTTTGCTACATACGAATTGTTAGTTGATTCACTATTCATTGTAACAATTGAACATTACTCAATCATGACACATGTTTATGTATTTCACTAATTGTAACTGACAATCAATTGAATGTAATGCACTCATGTCGTCGTTTCTTTTTCTTTTTTTTTTCGAAAATAATGAATAAACCCAAACTATTCGAATGCTTGTTAATATACTTTACAATTGATATATTTCATGTTCAATATTAACAATATAATTATTATTCATAAAAAATATACAACAGAAATTTATTTGATTTAAATATTAATTATAAACAAAAAAAAAAAAAAATACTCAGATATATTTATTTATATAGAAAGTTTTTAAAAAATAAAATTAATTTTATTACAAGCGGATGAGTCCTTCAGTCTTAGTTATCATCATCGTCATCATTATTCTCTTCAGCTTCATGCGGAATACTGTATATGATATAATCAGCCGGTTTTAATAAATGGTTAAATTCTTGAAAAATGTTTTCATTAGGTACCTCAAGAATAAGACCTTTACTTTTCATATATTCACGAACATTCTATAGAGAAGAAAAAGAGCATTAATATAATAAAAATAAAACATCTAAATTTATTTTATTCTTACTAATTTAGATGAACAAAGTCGTAAATCAACAAAACTTAAAGGCCAAAAATCACGAGATGATTTAAGATAAAATGTTGCATCAACGAATTTTTCTAAAACAATTTCTTCAAATAATTTTGTAGCTGTTGGATCACTACACCAAGTACCATTAAGAGGTAAAGTCTAAAATTCAGAAAAAGAATTAATTTTTATTTAAAACAAAAAATTAGTAAACTTATTCACCTTAGCTAATGAACATGGAACAGCTTGAGCTGGTAAGCATGCAAATTTTGGTAGAATTGGATAGATATCAGTTGAAGAAACTTTACTCCAATTACCATAATCAAGATAAACAACATCGTACAAATTATCTGTTTTTGTCACTAGAAAAATTCGTATTGAAGAATAAAATTATATAATTATTTTACTTTGTGGAACTTCGATAATTCTTGCACGATAAAATTGATTATCTTTAGTATATTTAGCGATACAATAATCACCACGTTTCCATGATGATGATGATGCATTAATTATAGGACTTTTAGAATAGAATTGACTAATATAAACTAAAACATTAAATCAATATAAATAATCTAGATGATTTACTTGATTTCTTTTTGTAATTCTTCATATTTGTTTTCAAGATGTGCTAGTTGAAGAAAAAATGCTGATGGATGATCAACATGTGAAACAAATGCTTGTTCATAACATTTCTTTCCCAAAACACGAGTACGACGGATACGTACTAAAAATATCAATAATAATCAAGATATGTTTGTTCTTTAGTAAAGATAGGAAACGACAGGTATCTTGATGTGTACTTCCTCATTATTTTCAATTATACGCATCAGACAAATAACAGTTTCACGACCTATGACAATATTCTAACAATCCTGATATAGAATGTTGCAATTAATAAAAATCATATTGGACATAATATGCTTCAATTCTAAGATTAAACTTAATTACTCGTGAGAGAATCTCTGCAGATGTCAAATCGATTTTCGATTTCAAACTTTGAATAAACAAAGCTCGCAATGAGATTAGTCCATTAGAGAAGTTGTGATTTTTCTAGTTTAGGGGCCACAGTGTTTGTTAAAAAAACCCATCACATTAACATCGTTTCAGTCAAAAAACGATTTGACGCTTGGAGGAGTTCTCTCGTCAGCTCAATGATTTCGGTTACTAGATTAGCAAATATCTAGTAGGAAAACTGAAAAAATGGTAGATATTTTAGAGTGATAATATTATGATCGTTCAAGACAACCGGTTATATCCTCTAATGATCAGCTTCAACTTTCAATAGAAAAAAAGCCAGAGATAATATATTTCTGTTTTCAAGTTCTGCCATTTTTTCAGAGTTTTACAGTCAAAACTCAGTGTACATTATTCACTTGAATAGTTTTATCTTTGTAATACATTAGTATAAGTACTAAATTAACTTACCTGGTTTATCCTGATCGAAGTTTTCATGTACGTCGGTATCATGTTCATCGAATGGTGTATTTCTTGCTAATGATGATGATGATAATAATGTACTATTACCCGTGCTACTATCAAGTGCTGATGCTCGTTCAGAAGTAGTCATCGATCCTCGACCAGAATCAGCAGTTGATGCTCGATAAGGATTATTTGTTGGTGTTTGTCTAGAATCATCTTTCGGTTCAAGATATCTCACAGATCGACGATGTGGATCCATTGGATATTATCTACAACATATTATTACTTGATTTCATTAGATACCGACGATTCGAATTTATCTTTACACAAAAAAGAATAAAGCAATAGCAAAATAATGCATAAGTGAACAATAAAAAAACGCTGCGTCACGATCTTGAAGCAATTCTTTCCAGATTCTTGTTTTCTTAACTGCTCAGTCTAGATTTTTTTTTCTTTCAAAGAAAACAATAGATCTTTGTTTATAACTTTTGAATAGTAGTATATCATTCTGATCTGACTTCTGTCATTGTTCTCCTATTCAACTCAAAAAAAAATTAATAATGACAATTAAAGTTCAACGTAAGACAGGGAAAAGAAACAAGTATTTGAAATTATTTTGATTTGATATGTTTGTTGCAACAGCAACAAAAAAATATAAGTCACACGACCGCTTTCTTAATGTTATAAAAAATTTTTTGTTTAACTACTAAATTTTAGTTTACCGGTAAAGAATATGGAAAGAATAAATTCAAGAATATTGATTAGTGACTTGAAATAGAAAGAAAAGAAGAATACGTCAATATCCTTGCAGTTTTCATTGATTATATAAATAAAACAGTTTACTGAAGTAATAGATGATGATGTTAAAAACGAGACTATTGCAGGTATCATATTCTTTGGTTATTGAATACCAAAAATAAAAACAGATATTCATTAAGATGACCATCTTAATGAGAATAAATCATTTTATGATCGTGATAATTTCTAATGAGACGAGCAAAACCATCATTATGAAGAATTTTTGATACAGTCTACAATAGATGTTGTTTGATTTAGGTTAAAATATTCTTTAAAAAGATCACTATTGTTTTAATGATATTTAAATAATAAACTTCTTTTTTTTACCTGACTATCGATTTTGATATTAAGAACAGATAATAGCCATGTTTTTCATTTGAGAATATGTATTTTTATTACATATTCATTAAGAATTTCTCCAGTTAATAATCATAACCAAACATTGTTTATCTGAAACTATATATATATATTCTTTAAGAACGAAAAAGTTTTTAATAAACTTACGCATATGATAGATTTTAATAACTCTAATTTATAAAATTGTTAATATCATTTTGAATACAATACACAAAAATCACCAGTTTTGAAATTGCTGTTGTTTTATTGCTCGAATAATATAAACTATCAATCGAAAATAAAATAAAAAGGTAAAAAAAAAACAGAATAACTATTATCAATTATATACCTTGATGCATTTGTTGAAATGCAGAACCATTATCAAGTATTTGAATAAAGATAGTCGATGGATGATCAAGATAAGAAATCAGACAAAATTAGAGTGTAGGATATATTTTTTACATCGTTTATATTGTATAGTTGTAACCAAAAATGAAAATATGATAAAGAAGTTTTATACAAGCATCATAAGTTTTGTAATTACAAGTATTTTAATGTGACACAATTGTTTATCATTTAGTATCAATAATGACGTAATTCAACTTGTAACAATATTATCTAAGATTGTAGACGATAAGGAATTTTGTTATTTACCGCATTGCTTGTCTATTGTCACATGTTCGATAACAAAGTTCAGTACTAAGTTTTTTTCTTACAGTAAAAAAACCCAATCTGAAATTTTACTTATCATATGATTACTGTTTCTATTTAAACAAACATTTATAACGAATAAAATTAAATCGTTGAATTCTTTATGACATTAAATTAGTTACAAATCATTTTCGTAATATTTATTTCAAGAAAAATTGAATTTCTAGAAAAAGATATATGATTTTTCGATATTGATGGTTGAAAAAATATATTTTACATACAACTCCATTGATATCTTTTTTGAACGAAATATTATCAGAATAGAAATCGTCAAAACACGTTTTGAATTTCGCGTTCTACTTCATTTTTCTGTAGCTAATTGACCAAATCTTCTTGTTAATCATCTTCTTGAATGTTCACTACTATTGCTGATCAATAAAACGATCTAAAATGTAGAAGATTAATTTTGAAAAATATGAAACTTATATTTCAATGAATTTGAACTTTAGATGCCAACAAAAGTTTGCAATTTTTTTCTATTTCTTTTGCTTTCATCTTCCTCGCAAAAAAAAATAACATCAAAAACGTTTTAACTTTGTTTACTCAAATGGTTGTTAGTCAACAAAACGATGATTTTGATGAAAAGTAGGTTATCATATTCAACTCACACATATAACGATAGAATTCACTTTTGTCTGCAACATTATGCAGACGACAATTGAAACTAGCATCGATGATCCAATAATTAAAGAACGATTCGCTGCTTAATCTTCTTTGATAGAAGTTACTTTAAAGAAATCTTATATCTAGCATTGTGTTGTTGTTGTTTTTTTCAGTCTGTCAAGAAACGAATTTGCTCAAGAATGGACTTTTGATTTGTATGAAAATATAAAAATATTTTTCTGCCGAGTAAATAAATTGAATAAAGATCGATGACATATGATGAATATGAGAGGCAGAAATGTTGTTGTACAGGTAGTCAACTTGAACTGGTTGTTCATGTTTGATGATTCTTAAAATAAAAAGTCAACATGATTATATGCTAACGAATAATGATCTATTTTACGGGTAATTAACGAAAGAGTAAAGGAATATATTACTGAAAAATTATTCAAACATATTTCACAATAGAAATTAAACGAAAACGTTTGTACTATTATATAAGAATATTGATCGTATTAGAGTTACATTATTACAATTATTGCACAGCTAACAAATTTTATATATAAGCTATCCATAGCATGCACGAATCAATATATTCTAATTTTAAGGTATCTACAGTGTATGTTGTGTGTCAATAATTTAAACTTTCTGCCGAATTTTATTTATTTTTCTCGTCGTGATTGGATTGAGCTCAACGAGCTCCATTGAACTACGATGAAAAAAGGAAATTAAGTTTTGATGAAATTTTAAATGATAAGCACATTATATACACTGTAAATACTTTAAAATACACTGAAAAAAAACGGTGCAATTCGAAGCCTGCAAAAGGTTTCGCACTTACTACGAAATTTGTTTAGGTTTTGAACTCGAAATAAAAGGTTTCGTACCAAATGCGAAACCTTTCTAGGTTTCGTAAGCAACCTAGAAAACTTATGAAAAAAGTTTCCTTTACCGTTGACAATCATTTTAAAGATGTCTTAGATTTTTACGAAACCCTTTTTGAGGATTTCGATTTTTGCAACAAAAAAGGTTCGATATAACATCTTTTTTGTTCAATGTAAGAATATGTCAATCCGTGCATGTTATAAAAACCTCATATTTCCAATTTGTTAGTTCAGAAGTAAGAGTAAGGACTAAAGAAATACAATAGTAGATCAACATATATTAAGCTTTGTTAGAACTTGCCACTTTTCATAAATTATTTCAAGCTATATTCATAGATATATGATGAAAGTAGTTATTTTTTATGCTTAATAGAGAGCTGCGCGAGTACGAGTATAAAATGTACTCTGATAGTCTTATGTACTGGGGAAAAGTTTAGAATCGGTGGGGATGTACTGAGTCGAAAAACTTACAAATTACTTGGTATGTACTATTGGGCATGAGTGTGAGTGTAGGATACGGATATTCTCTCAGACGGAGATGGAGATCAACACCGACATCCGATAGTATATGAGAGTACATACCGAGTAATTCTAGTTTTTTTTCTACCCAATACATGACAGTACATCCCCACCGATTCTAAACTTTTTCCCAGTACATATGACGATCAGAGTATATGACAATACTGTACTCTGACTACCATTTGTACTGGGAAAAAGTTTAGAATACGTGTGTGCCGATATTGATGGCACGCTTCGATGATTCTCCTTCCTCCTCATTCTGTTCTCTTTCCATTGTTCTAATATATCTCTCTCCTGTCTCTCTTCTATCTCTCTCCTATATATACGTGTGTTATGTATGAAATTGTTACACTCTGGATATGTGAAGAAGCGAATAAACATCATTGCCGAGAGTGGCGGTAAGCTACTCCACCTCTAGCCAGTTTGTCATTACGTATAAACCCAGTCAGGGCATTATTAATCGTTACAACGTGGGAATGTACTGTCATGTACATGAGAGTACAATCCCCACCGATTCTAAATTTTTTCCCAGTACATATGGTTGTCAGAGTACATATTTGATTTATGAAAATATATGAGTAATTGAAAGTACAAATTGTACTTGTATTCGCGCACCTCTGGCTTAATACATTAAAAATCGAATAAAAATGTACCATAGAAAAGAAAAAGACTGTTGCTGTCAGAATAATTTACTCACGTGTAGTATAATAAAAACAAACATTTATTCTGTCGTCATATAATTCAAAGTAAAATTCTATGTCATTGATTATTGTAAAAATATCATTCCAACATTATGTATGTAATGTTGTTATACCAAGTATATCGATCATTTTGTCAAGTGTATTAAATAGAATGTCCATCAAAGTGATGCGCTGTGTTTCATACTGAGGTGTTGGTGTTAGATTTAATAAATACAGAGCACACATTTTGACATCAATTGAGTACTGTCAAGCGAAATTATTTCAATGTTCAATCTAAGCTATAACAGATCAAAATTTCATTTGGTAACTATATAAACGTTGATCATAAGTTTTCAAAATGATATTGAGACGACTCGTTTCATATTTCAAACAAAAACTGTAACATAATATTTGACTATTTTGCTCCCTATCATTTATGGAAACTGGTCATGTTCGATGCAAACATGTTCATGCTATCAATTATAGTAATTACTAACTCATTTTTTCAAATACGGTATGTGTTGGTAGATGACTGTTAGAAAATACTGCAATCTATCATTTCTAACATAATATACCTGAAAAAGGCTAATTAAATAAATATGTAACTAACAATCATTACTGGAAAACTCGTATACGTGTTTCCGATTCGAAAATCTAGTAGTTCCATTATGACTAATTCGATTTCAATCATAAGAAAATCTTATTTTAGAAAATAATTCATAATGGCAAACGAATAAGTATATGAAAATACCTTTGAATTGAAATTGATTGATTGTATTGAGTTCTGCTGTTTTCATATCATTATTGGAGCAGAACAGTTAAAACTCATGCCATTTTTTAGCTAAAAAAAAAGGTTTAACTCATCTGCAAAATATATGAAAACCTTAATAGACAAATTGCAAATGAATACACGATTTATTTGAATGATTTAGGCAACAAACGCAAATTTCACAAGAACTACATTATATATCAATAAGATGTCAAGTTTTTCAACGAAGTTATGACATAATTTCTCACACTGGTGCCATTTACAAATTAAAAAAAAGAAAGCGATACATTGCTCTATTGATGTCACCAATGAGATCGTTAAACAAAGAAATATTTTTGAAAAATGTAAAGCTGATTACAAATAAAGTGATCATATGACATTTATTAATATTNGAGGTCGCTACAATCTCATCTTTAATGACGTTTTGTGTCATTACTTGCCACTTTTTAAAAAAAAATCAAAAACGCAGTTCGATAGAGTAAATTTTTCTCCATAAGATAGGGTAAAATTTATTTCCTGCCCCTCTCAAAAATGTCAAGCACCAATCCATGAGCATTTGCTATTGATTCACATTTTTCTTTATGTTTTTTCGGGTGAGAGTCCGTACCAAAAGCGATACATTGCTCTATTGATGTCACCAATGAGATCGTTAAACAAAGAAATATTTTTGAAAAATGTAAAGCTGATTACAAATAAAGTGATCATATGACATTTATTAATATTAATCGTATCTAGGCTTTTATTATTTCAGTAAACTGCATTACTTCATTTCTAAAAAAGAAAAATATCAGCTGTAGATGACGCTATTTGTTGATGTGACAGGTTTATTATTTTATTTGAATCGTGTATTCTAATCAAGAAATTATCGGGATTCATCTTGAAAAATGAGTCTTTCAAGAGATTCTTTTTACATCATAATTAATATATGTGTTAAGAATGGTGGTATTTTATTCCTGAAGATAACTACAGTAGAATGAAAACAAATATTTGTATGAAATATTCTACGAATTCACATACTTTCTAAATAAATTCATAAATATAATAATATTGTAATAAAATCCTCTTTAAAAGAAGTACATGAGACAAGATAATAGCAGTCAATTTATCGTACAAACGAATGATGAATTGTTATAAATAAAGATATAAGATAAAGAGTTTAGACAATGTCAAAGGGATAATTCCTATAAACAAAAAATATTGTACTTATATATCAATTAGAATATCAAACAATACTTTCGATGAAACTTTACAAGACATCAAGATATATTCATTCAAACTATTATTAAATGTTTGATGTAGACTTCTTATCCGTTGTTGGAACACTCAAGAACTTCTCAACTAAAGTTTCTCAATCATGATGGGAAGTCTTTTTTTTTTTTTCAAAAAAAATATATGCTTTATTTCCTTTAAACAAAAAATAGGTACATCTGCAAGAATCTAGAAAAAAAAAAAAAGTGAAAACCATTGCGTATTGACACATACTATCCAGGACTTCCAGTTTCACATTTATGAGATCACAAAAATATCACTTTCTCGTCTATAATATACAAAATGAAAAGAAAAAAAAAAAATGAAACTCCTGAATGCTTCAAATAAGTAAATTCTTATTTGTTGAATTAATTATGGAAGATCTAAAATGAACAGCAAACGAAAAAAAATAATAAGATTATTAATTTCTTTTTCTCCTTTAAACACTTACTATTATTATAAATATCCGATTCAACAACTGCTACATTATACAAAATATATTCCATCGGTGTAAGTTTATCATTAAAATGCAATGCAATCTGTTCATTTCGTGCCGGCGTTATATATGGTGCCATTTTTGGATGTTGAACGATCGACTAAAATAAACAAAGAATTAAACATATTTTTAAACTAATCATTTTCATATATACCTGACCATCGAGCATAACTTTAACGAAATGAAGTGGCCTAACATCAAAGAACAAGGATACGAAAAATAATCATAGCATAAATTAATGTTTTTTTTTTTGTGTATTACCATTGTTGAGCAATACTTTGTTGAAAATGAACTTCAACAATACGATTTTTAACAATCATATTAAATGCATCTGTTGCTTCTTGAGTCCAGAAATTTTCATTACTTGGAAATGCCTTTTTATAAAGAAAAGAAACAAGTAATAATTGAAAATTAAAAAAAAAATTAACTAGAAATTTTTACTTCATGTAATGTACAAGCAACTGTCATAGCCGGTAGACGTGTTAAAGATTCAATCATTGGATAAATTTCATTAGGTGGTTTTGATTCTGAATTACCATAATCAATAAAGACAATAAGAACAGATTCATCTTAAATTAAAATAAAATAATTTTTTTTTTCTTAAATTTTATTTTTTATAAAATATATGTATACTATTATTCAAAACGACTCGAGCTCGATACCATAAATGATCTTCACTAAATCGTGCTACACAAAAATCACCAATAGATATATTTTGAAATGGTACATTTGTATTTGATAGTTTACTATAATAATTACTAAAGATAAAATAAAATTATCAAATAAATATTTGCTTTTTTTTTTTTTTTTTTTTACTTCATTTCAATAGACATCATATTAAACTGTTCAGTAACACGTGGATCTTGATTAGAAACAAAAAATGCTGATGGATGATCCACAATAGGTATATCAGCATTACGCCATATTGTACCAGTTGGTATAACTTGCATTTTAACTCGAACTTTATTATCGGTTATATTTATTTCATTGATTAATGTAGCTAAAATGAAATAAAAATTATCTAACTGAAGCACAAAAAAACGAACAAGAAATTCATCACTATTAAATACAAACATGAATATGAATCTGTTGGATTTGAAATTCGTTGTTGATGACCATTCATAGATATATTTGAAGACATTTTTTTTGATGATAGCGGATATTGAGATATTTGTGAAATAATTGAATTTTGTGGAGATAATTTTGCTTGTTGAAGACTAATATTATCTTGAATGGATAATGGTCGATGAAATTCAGATTGTTGTTGTTGTTCTACTGATGGTTTTATTGGAACTGTTTCACTGAATAATGTTGCTGTATTTCTAGCAGTAAATGTATTTGTACCAAGATTTAATGAACGTGTTGTATTTGAAAATATATCTCGTTGTAAACGAACTTCATTACCCGTCGATTCATTTTTAGTTATTGGTACATTAGATGGAACTGTTTGTATTGATGTATGATTAATAATTGGTGTTGAAGGACAGATTGGAATATTTAATTGACGTTTTTCATTATTAATTGTTAGAATATTATTAACAGATGTATGAAGACTATGTAATGATTCTGTTTGTAATTCAACAACTGCAAGTTTTTCAGCAACATTTAAAAGAACTTTATTACATTTAATAGCTTTTTGAGTTATTATAGGAATTATATTTGAATCGAATTCAATTGAACGTCGTTTACTAATCCATGTTTGTTTAACTTCATCAACATATGATGTAACTTGAATTAAACGATTATTAAGACGATTACACAAAAAAAGAATATTGTCTATATCATCACATAGTTCAATAGTATTTAATTCATTTAATGATGACATATCTAAAATAAAATTTAAAATAAGTTTTTTTGCTTTGATTTTTGTTTTTCATAGAAATAAAAATATGAAGGTCAATATGTAATAAATAAAATTTCGTGTAAGTGACTAAAAATAAAAATTAAATAATTAAATTAAAGATTTTCATGAAAATTTCTACAGGATGATGGAAGTCTGTCAAGTGATGAATCGCTTGTTTTTCTCGAGGCACACATAACGGCATGTAGTTCACTGCACTAATTACTCATATCATAGACATAGAAGTCTATATGCTTTTCTAGATTTTATATCATAGGTACTAACAGGGTTATTTTTTAATACGTGTCATCAGATAGAATATCATCAAAAACACTATTTTTACAGGCAATTTAATGTTAGATGTTAAGCTATAAAGCAGCAAAATAATTCGTACATGAAAGAGAGCATTGTGAATGTTTTACATCTAAATGGAAGATGTAATAAAAAAATTCAAATTATTAATTTAAAGAATGAGTAGAAAAAATTGGTTATTAGATAACTAGTGTATAAACTGCATCATCTGTGTTTCAATACTTTCAGATAATGGAAGTATAAACAATATCAACTTGAATAAAGCATTACATAGGCACACATATATTAATTTACTAACATATAATACACATCATTATGTGAAAAAACTAAGTCGGAAATCGTACTTTGGTATACTTAATCTTTCTCTGTTTTACAATTCATCTTGAGAGGAAACCATCATCCCAATTTGAAAATCGCTTTTGAGCTCAGACTCTGTACATTAGGTAGATCTTGATGAATTATTAAAAATCTCAAAATGATAAGGACTCTTTGTACTTCATTACAAAGTTATAGTGATTTTTACTTGAATTTAAATCTATGACATGGTACATACAAAAAAAATGGAATGGCGATATTTTGATCTGAAGTGTTGTCCATATATAGACTGACTTGTAAGTAGAATGCTTCCTTCGCGAGTTCAATATCTCGTGGAGGAAATATTCTAGATACAAGTAAGTCTATATATAGGCAAAGTTTCGGGTTGAAATGTCTTCACTCGGTCCATTTGTAAATATCGTGCCATAAACTGAAATTTCATTACGACCGGTATAACTTTGTAGGAAAAGCCAAGAAGACGTTATCATTTTCAGATTTTGTAATAATTCATTGGGATCTACTGTATGTGAAGTTTGAATTTAAAAGCAATTTTCAAATGAGACATATTTCCTCGTTGGTATCTGGCATTAAAGATTAAAATATCTGTAGAAAATCCGATGACACATAGTAAAAAAATTCGATAACTACCGCCTAGCAGAGATGTCCATCGTGGCACTGCCGCGCCGCGATGGCTTATAAAAAAAAGTTGCCGCGCCGCGATGACTTGTAAAAAAAAGCTGCCGCGCCGCTGCCGCGATGGTTTTCAAAAAAAATGTTTCGAATTTCACTGCTGTGACCGTATTGGACCAGAAATATTGGTAATAGGCCATCAGATTCATTCAGTCTCAGGGTGTTTCATTTGTAAACAATGAAATTCTATCAAATTCATGCAGTTTTTCAATGTCCTCGAAAAAAAATGCTGCCGCTGCCGCGATGGCTTTTAGAAAAACTGCCGCCGCCGCGCCGCGATGGGCATCTCTGCCGCCTAGTACTAGTTAACACATATCAAATCTAGAGAAGGATATGAGCCGTTAGGACTACGATATTCAGAGTCATCGCAGTGAACTCAATTCAGTCATGTATTATTTAAAGAAAAAGAGATTTACCACATGGAAGAGTTTCCTCGTGAATATTTAGTGAATCTGTACAAGCAAAAGATCAACGTTTCTGATATTTCGTATTCAAAAGAAACATTTAGAGCATTTCAAAATAAAACGCTTGTATCTTTATTATCAATTGATGATTAGTTTGTCAAAAGATGAAAGTTAACTGATCACTGTGAATATAATTATTTATTTTAAATATCGAATAAATCATCGTATGATTGAGCACGAAAGATGGAAAGATCATGTCGGAACATACCGAAAAAAACGAAGAGACAGCATTTATTTGCTGAAATATGACAAGTAACCTATTCATATATATATCTGATTTTATTTTGTATGAATTTTATTGCATTGATCTTTCTGCATTGTTGTTTTACGTGCCGTCAGGATTATGCTATTTATCAAGAATTGCTTTATCAGCCATTGAAATCCAAGCAATAGACAATGTCGTCAAACTAATTAGATCAACAGATGTATTGTAAGCAAAAAAAGAATATAAACTTCACGATTTAAGATAGTCTATGCTTACATCACAAACTTTTAATCTTTAGTTTTAGCAACTGATTATGATTGTTTTTTTTTTCTTATATTCAAACAGACCTTTTTTGAACAATTGTCATGAGCATTGTCGCCTTCATTGACAAAAATATCCTTAGGTAATATCATAGGTTGCATTTGACAATGATGCAATTTTTGTGAAAGTGTAGGCCCCGGTCCCAGTCTCGACGAGATCAGGACGTAGATCGAAGTCCTCTTGCCTGCATCTGCATGTACTTCTCTTTTTTTTCTTAATATGATAATATTCATGAAGCTGTACTGTATATGCAGTATAGACGCAGAATACACAATATGGATGATCATTAGTATTATTATTCAACAGCAATTCATTATCTTGCGAAAGTTAACATCAGTTCTATTTTAGTTGACAGCTCAATAAAATTCAACTTATCGGATATGCATTGACTCTTGTCTACAAAAAAGAAAACATCCTAATGATCTATTCAAAACTGTTTGATTAGGTTTGGTAAATAAAAAGAAGTCAATTTTAAGAATCAAGAAAGAAAAAACACGAAATGGCTATTTTCTTCAATCTAGTTACTAATTTAATGTTTTCGATTAATACAAAAAGGCAAACTACTTACCTTAAATACAAAAGTCATCAATGTAACGTAAATCAGGACATATTATTAATCGATTGTGAATATTCAACAATGAAATGTATTCACTCAGTAGTTTTGATTCAATGAATTACGATTGAATAGAATAATGAACTTTGAAATTCTGTTACATATTTTTTTACTGATATTCATATTTGTTTATGTACTAATAATCCACTATTGATTATTAAATATCGATTTTATGAAAATATAAAACACAACAATCTGAAAAATATATATAAATTCATTTCATAGGAATCTATTTTCTTTTAATCTTTGAACAAACATATACACAAACACAAATGAACAAATTTGAGACAAACAGTGGTGGTTTTGTCGTATAGTAAAAATGAAAACACACATAGAAGACTCAAAATTTGTTTTGTTGTTCATGAATCGAAAAACAAAAAACAAACAAATTCGACATTTTCAGATATTATTGTTCAAAATCATCTTCACTAATAGGTACATTGAAAAGAATATATTCCTGTTCACTAAGACAAGGTGCCATTTGTTCAGCAATAAAACGATTTGGTCTTGGTTCAATACGTTGTTGAAGATTAAGTAAATTTGTTACAGACTTTAAAAACAAAAAAAAAGAATTCTTCAATAAATTCTAAATAAATTTAAATATTTTCATACCTGATTACCAACAATAATTCGGACAAAATGTAAAGGCCTATAAAATAAGAAAGAATTTTCTTCTTCTTCCTATAAGATACTTTATTGTGAATAGACATGATCAAGCACAACAAAACTTTTCTTGTTCTTACAAAGATTATTTTTTTAAGTTAACTTCTTTTCTCTTTAAGAATCATTATTAAAGATGTGCACGAGACGAAGATTTTTTGGATCTTGATGATTTTAGTTTTTTAAGTATTGCTTCTAAAGAAATTCTTTATTACTTGTTGTTTGATTCATTTCATGGACGACTAACAAGATAAAAAATATCTAACTATAATCTTTAGTTCAGATAGGAACCAGAGATGTCCATCGCGGCGCGGCGGCGGCACCTTATTTCTGGAAGACATTGTAAAAACTGCATGAGTTTGCAAAAGAATTGAGTGTCTACAGACGTAACACTCTAAGACTCAATGAATCTCATCGATTAGTGACAAGAATTGTATTTCAATACATTCACAGCAATGAAATTCGAAACTTTTTTTCGAGTACCATCGCGGCGCGGCAGCGGCAGATTTCGAGCCCCAATGGACATCTCTGATAGGAACAACTTTTCCCTCGTAGTACCGGTTCGATAAATCTCTCCAGTCATTATGGTCAACAATGAAAATAAAACTTTAAAATACAAGACTCATTGAAAATTGTGATTCATGATAAACATTGTATTTATTATAGGAAACTTAAGGCCCCCGCCACCCCCCCACCCCG